ACAGACTGTCGGTTCACACCCCATCACAAGCCAGCAAAACATCCACGAAACAAAGAAAGGTCTGTCACAGCCAAAAAATACACTCCAGACACGCCGCTGGCACTAGAGGCACAGCATGGCCGCCTAGTAAATATATATATATATATATATATACAGAGAGAGAGAGAGAGAGAGAGAGAGACAGAGAGAGACAGAGAGAGAGAGAGAGAGAGTACTTCCATGGATAGGATGATCAAAATCAAAGTAGTATGTTCTAGCCGAAGATTCATTCGATTTTGCTCCGATACGATGAGCAAAATCGAATGAATCTTTCGAACTCTCATTCGATATTGCTCATCCTATCGATGCAAGTAGCGTGAGGGCTACTTCCATCGATATGACGAGTAAAATTGAATGAATCTTCCAAACTCTCTCTCTCTCTCTCTCTCTCTCTCTCTCTCTCTCTCTCTCTCTCTCTCTCGCGCGCGCGCGCGCGCGCGTTCTCCTTTTCAACAACAAGTAATGGATCATCCTTTTCACGCTCCCTCTCCTGCTGCTCCTCCCGCTCTTCCTCCCGCCCTTGGTCCTCCTGCTCCCGCTCCTGGTACATGTGTGTGTGTGTGTGAGAGAGAGAGAAAGAGAGAGAGAGAGGGTATTCCATTAATAGGATGAGGAAATTCAAACGAATCTCGATCTCCCGCTAGAACATGGAAATATACACCGCCACACTTTTTTTCCTTCTTTTTTTGTGATAGAAATATACACGTCCACACCACCTCCTATTCCCTCCTCCCTCCCCGCGATTCAACCCCCCCATGTCCCCAATCCCCCTCCCTTCCCCAACTTTTTTCCAACGACTTCCCTCCGCCGACCTCCCTTCCCCGACTTCCCTTCCCATCTTAACTTCCCTGCCCTGACTTCCCTTTGCCAACCTCCATTCCCCGATCCCCCTCACTTGACTTCCCTCCTTGAATTGACCCCCCGCCAATAACTTCCCTTCCCATCCCGACTTCACTTCCCCCCCTTCCCAGCGTCCCTACTCCGGTGTCCCTACTCCAACGTCCCTACTCCGACTTCCCTTTGCCGACCTCCCTCCGTCGACCTCCCTGCCCCGACCTCCCTTCGCGGACTTCCTTCCCCATCCCAGCGTCCCTCCCCCTACTTCCCTCCATCGATCCCGACCTCCCCCGATCCCTACTTTCCTCCATCGATCCCCACCTTTCCCCCGATCCAGGCTTCCCTCCAACGATCCCCCCCTCTCCCTCGATCACCAATCCCTCCTCCGCCCTCCCTCCCCCGACCTCTGTTCGGCGACTTTCCTCCCCATCCAAGCTTGCTACCCCCCCTCGATCCCCACCTCTGTCCCCCGATCTCGACTTCCCTCTCCGATCCCATTTCTCCATCCCGACCTCTACTTTCCCTGATTGCCACCTCCCACCCCTGACAACTCCTCCTCCTCCTCTTCCCGCTGCTGCTCCTGCTTTTCCCCCCTTCCTCCTCCCGCTCCTCCTTCTGCTCAACCCGCGGGCCGTGCCCTCACCCGCCGACAGTCTGCACAGGGCAGTCTGCGCAGCTCGCCTCACGCTACTTCCTTCGATAGGATAAGCAAACCAAATGAATCTTCCAATCTCTCTCTCTCTCTCTCTCTCTCTCTCTCTCTCTGGCGCGCGCGCGCGCGTGCATCCTCCCTTTCACACCGCTTAACAACAAGAGATGATGGATCGTCCTTCTCCCGCTCCCCCTCCTGCTGCTCCTCCCGCTCTTCCTCCTCCCGCCCCTGGTCCTCCTCCCGCTCCCGTTCGTGCTACACGTGTGTGTGTGTGTGTGTGTGTGTGAGAGAGAGAGAGAGATGTTACTTCCATCGATAGGATGACCAAAATTGAACGAATCTAGCACTAAAACATGGA